TCACACTGCAAGACAGACTCTTCCTCCTCCTTTTGTTTCTGTCACAGAGCTTTGGATTTACGAGTACCCATGACAATAGGACCCTGTGGCAACCATCCTAAGATAAATCCTGCTCATGCAAACATTTTCAAAACAGGCAGAATATCTGAGTCATGCAGGAAAGCATGATGCACTCCTACAGTTCACCTTTCAGTTCAAACTCTCTGCGCTCAACCTGTATGTTCATGGAAGCCAAAGAGCAAATAATGTGACAAATATAAAGGATTAATTCCAGGAACTGAGTAAGTGCTTCATGAGTCAGTCTGGAATGAACCTGCAAGGCTGCATAGAGGTTAAATTCAAAGAAGGTATTTCAGAGATGATGTTAGGATTAATACACGTCTCTTTGCCCAGAGAACTGTGAAGAGCTGAACACTGTCTCTAGAAGCACAAGACCAAGGACAACAGCTGCTGCTTAGCTTTGTCAATTGTCTCTAACTCCAGGAACAGCCCACATCCACTGCCAGCACTGAATGCCAAATCAGAGGGACAAAACCTCCCTCTCACTCATTTGCCCTTTTCCCACCAAGATTCCCACATCACACTCCTTAGAGCTGCACTGGTGTTCACAATAGCACTCTCTTTTACCTTTTTATCAGTGCAAGCCACTTGTTGCCAGCCTAGCTTTTTCCTATTGAAAGCACATTTGTCAGGCAGCCAAGGGTTTGCAAAAATAAAACATCCAGAGGGCAACAGTCTCTGCCTCCACATAACCACACCCAAAAGATGCTCCAGACAGAAACTTCCTCCCACTGAAGTTCTCCCCTCTCTCAAGTCCTCTCTGCAAGAGAAAGCTGGACTAGCATTTCACACTATTTTTGAAACCATGAGGTTAAGCAAATATGAACCTCTACCACTTAGAACTCTTAGTCCTAACGAAATAGCATATTTAGATTTTCCTTAAAACTCACCATAGTTAAACATAAAAAACCCCTCGTGGTCTAAAGTGAAATAGAGTATTCACACATTTTCATAACAGCTCAGAAATATCAAATGGTATAATACCAGATAAAAACTATTACTGCAGTAGAATCATGCAACATTTTCATAACCAAGATGAAATCCCAGCACCTCAATTTCATGGACTAAGCTGCACCTCAGACAACACTAACTTCTCATATAGTAATTTGTCATAGAGTGAAAAAAGTATCAGTATCAATATATATTAATAGTAATATATATTCCCCTTTATTCTGCTTCCCCTGCCAAAAAATCAGTAGATGAATAAAAAAGGATGCACTGCAGACAGGTAAATACAAAGATTTTGATGAGCAACAGTAGTCAAGGGTGATTCTTTCTCTCCCAGTGCTCCACTCAGTCTTGGAATTACAGAAGTAAGATACCAAAAGGGAAAAGTGAGCGGTAAAAAATGCAATGACAGGGTACTTGAATTTTTGTAGAACATTTTCCATCACTTCAGCAGATCAGAAAAAACAGGAAGCTCAGGCATGAAATTTCAGTAAACTGTACTCCTCAAAGACTGTTTGCTAGCTTAAGTATGATTTTTAAAAAAATACTGTGTAGTAAATGCCATAATTTCCATGGATTTCATTTCTATGTGAAACAGGAAAAATGTCACACTTTCTTTTAGAGAGACAAAAAATGTTGGAGAATTAATATTCTTGTTTTATTTAAAAAAAAAAAACACCTTACAGTGCAGAAGGGTGCCACACACAAGGGGCACACAGAAAAACACTGTGATAGTGAAACTTAATGAATTTACAGTTCTTACTATTCCATCAGTGCTCTGAAAGTAATCAGAATAGGAACAAAAAGCCAAACCATAAATGCCTGATTTCTCCTGGGTAAACTGGTAGTTAAACTGCAGGGAATTTATTTTAATTCCAGCAGCAAGCAGGGGGGCTTGGGAGACCCCTCATCAGATTAGCAGCAATGTTTTACAAATGGGCACTATTGAATTCCCCTGCATCCCAGTTTGGAAGCACGTTTCTATGGTGAACCCAAGGAGGGACCTTACATGGCCCTGCCTCCCTCTCTCCCAGCCTTTCAGGAAGCTATGAAGCTAATTTTCCCCAGCAGTATTCTCTGAAGGAAAAAGTTCACTTCTTGTGAAGGTAACATGTATTTTTTAATTATTATTATTATTTTATGTCTCCCCAGGGAAGGTGAGGAGGGGGGGAGCTTCCTTGCTCAACAGAGAAAGAAATTTTCCTGTATCAGTGCCAAGAACAGACACCCTAAATTCAGCGATCCTAATCTCCAGCCATCCATCAGCAGCAGGGTGGGACCAGCTGATTCAAGTTTTCTATTAGCTGGTGACTTTGTGTACTAAAATAAGTCTCTGTACCACCCAATTGTTCCTGCTGCTGTGCTCTGCAAAGCACAGAGGCAGCCAGCAGCTACCCTGGCTGTAAGCACTTCCCCAGCAGCCCCTTTATACCTGGCACAATCCTCTTCCCACCAACCCTTCCAAGTCCCTGAGCACTCCTGGGACTTTACACCATGAGCCTTTCCTACAGGGTTTGCTCCATCATCCCTTCAGCATGCATCAGGGAAAATGCCAGCTCCAAGTATGGAGCACTACCACAGGAGGCAAAATGTGGGTACAAACAGAGCTGTGAAGGCAATTGTCCCTTTACAGGACCAGTTAGCATCACACACACAGTGATCAAGGCACATATGTAGGGCACACTGTGGTACAAAGGCAGGATAAAATAATAAACCTCCCTGATCTACATTTTAAAAGGCACAGGAAGATAAAATAGTTCACTAACATAGATAATAAATTATTCTGTTGGTCAAATATTAAATAAAGCATGTTCATTGGTTTTTGTTTGGGCCAGAAAATAAAGTATGTGTAATTGATTAATGTTATTCCATTATTTACACAGTAAAATCTAGAACAGAATATATAAACCTGCAAACAGTTTGAAAATCACACTATATAAAAACAATTAAAATTGTATGACCAGGGCTAACAGCAAATTGTCAACCCCAACAGACAACTCATACACTTGGTACTCTGTGAGTTTTTACGTGCTATAGATCAGTGCCAGGTCCTGAGAACAAAAATAAAGAATGTGAGACCAGTTCACCTCAGTCAGAGAAAGGCATCTGTCTCCATGGCTCACACAAACTTCCATCCCCATTGTTATTGTAAGCCAGCTCTCACTGGATCCTGGCAGCATGGGCCATGCACAAGTGCATCGATCTTGAGCCAAGATAAAGGCAAAAGTTTCCTGAGTTCAGAAAGCTCCTGAGTGCCAGAGGAATGACAGACACACATATTTGGTCTAGAGCTTCTCTGCAGCTTAGAGCCCAGAACACTTTGGACTCCTGGTTGTAATTCGGTGTCTCCATCAGCCAGGGAGAAAGGCAGCTGGACATGTCAAACCAAGGAGACAATACACCTGCTACCAAAATTGGGAAGAGTGACTATGGGTTTTGGGTGTTTCAGATAACTCATATAAACAAAGATAAAAATTCAGAAAGCTACAGACATCCCCCTCCTAACTACCTCCCTTTCTAGTGACAAAACTGACATTCAAAAAACCAACACAATGCAATAGGTCTGAAATTCCTTTGAAATAAAAGGCCTCCAAAATCAGAAGTGAAAATTCAAAGGAGAAATTCATATTTTCTTTTTTTTTTTTTTTAAGAGCTAAAAATTAAATAGAATCCTCAGGAAAAAAGGGAAGAAATACAAATTAGCTATTTGATCAATTAATTTAGCGAGGCATTTTGAAGAACCTCACTAATCATGCCCTAGCAGGGATCTTCCTACTATTAAATTAGTAAAGCAAACAAACAATATTCAAGGAGTCTGCATTATACATAGCAAACACAGTATCATATGCCAAGTCTTTAGTCTCCTATAGCAAATTAAGGGGAGGTACTATGCAATCCTCAACTCAGCTCCATGGAATTTTGAAAAGAAGAATGCTAAACATTTTGTTCAAACAATGAAGTTTTGAGTTGGGAAAATCAAAATTCAAAGAGTGGGAAAATCAAAATTAAAAGAGTTTTTTACCTAATATTTAATAGACCATCTATCATACCAAGACATAGTGTAAACAAATGCTGAAGTTTACCCCTTAATGAACAGAGTTGATGCAAACAATGAAGTTACTTACACATTGTACATCTCCACCTAAACCATTCATCATGAAAAATTCCACTGTGCAATGTATCAACAAATGATTCTGCACTGCTGACTGAAGGGTAACCACCACCAAGGCCAAACCCACGCCAACAATGCAACACCAACCACTACAGACAGGGCATCTCCCCAGTTCTGATGGCAGAGTACAAACAAATCCCATTTAATTCCCACTGTAGCCGCTAACTCCTCCAGAAAGCATCTCTGTTTTCTCCTACACTGAGATGGGTCACTACAAACCCTATAGCAGATGATGATGATTATTATTATTACCTGTGTGACATAGAAATAACATTCATTAGGCATGGCTGAAGTTCTCCATGTCATGAACCTGATTCCAACTTCAACATGTTATCACTTGTAAGGCATCCTCTAGGAAATTTCTTTTTGCCTACTAAAATAAATGCTCTTATTTGTTAAAATGTAAAGATACCAAAAAATAATTACTTGTGTTATTTGTGTTATTTAACCAAATGCTACTTTGTTTTCCACTGTCTTTACATTTTCCATGTTCTGTAGACTGTGTAAAATACATCAGTGGAAACCTAGAAGTTTTGTCACTTAGGAAGGTGCACAAAGCCACTCTCTGGGAGGAACACACTGATCAGACTCTGAAAGGATCAGTGCAAAAACAGCATCAAATTACTCACCACTGGATTACACTGAATAAACCAGTCACTTTAAACAGTGATTTCTGCTTGCAAGCAGACCAGATGTAATACAAACATTAGAAAAACCTGGGTAAGGGCTCTGGAACATAGCAGTGACAATTCTGTAGTCCACCAACATGTACAGGACAAATATTTCCAATTCCCATATACAGCAAAGAGAGACACCTTACCCTTTCCACCTGTCCTTCTTTGTGCTTCTGTTTGTACACTTTCAGCTTTGGAAGGAAAGTCTCTGTGTAGTTCTTGTCTTCCATGCCTTGCAGCAGTACCCCATGGAATGCCAGCCTGCAGGTATTGGCATGGATATCTGTATCCAGCTTAGAGCCAATCACAAGGCACAGTTTAGGACAAGTGACTGGTTTTTCAAACTCCAGCAAAGCCCACTGTTGTTTTGGGAGCTGGACTTCTCCTGCCTGGTCATTTTCTTTGTTCTCCTCTGAAGAAACCGAGTCCTTGGACAAATATTGCTCTTGATAAAGATAATCTTTTTCAAAATCAAACACATTCTCTTGAATTTCTTCACTGAAGTTAGCAGGGGCTGGACTGAAAAACATCACTCTTCCCATCACTGTCTCATGACCGACCGTGATGTGGAACTTGGCCTTAGTCTGAAGAGCTCCTCGGAAATACTGAATTTTCTTCAAGGAAATGATGGCAGCGTGGATGGTGTGAAGTGAATCTGGGGTGCAAATCAGGCCTCGTTCCAGCAGCTTGGGATCAAACTGGGTCACACAGACACCCACTCTGTCACCCTGCATTGCATAAGTCACAGGAGTATGGAACATCTGCATGGACTTGACCTTCTTTGTCACCTATGGATGAAAGGGGAACAAAAAGAATGAAACAATTAATGGCACATGAGTGCATCATATGCTTATGCCACATGATTGCTGCTTATATTGTGATGTACCAGCCAGACATGACACCCTGCTGTCTTGCAAGACAAGTGACCTTCTAGAAGAGTCCACAACTCAGAAAGTAGAAGGCCAATAGTCTGAGAACTCCATCACTTAAAGTTTCACATATTTGAGCCCCCTAGCTTATTCCCCTTCTCTTCACAAGACTGAAGATTATCATTACCACAATTATGTTGATATTTACATCATCTGTGCTGCAGCACCCACAATACTATCTGCAAATAATCAGATATACCCACACTGTGGAATAGCTTAAATATACCCCCTTGAGCATCTGCAGCATCAAAAGTTTAGCACTACAATACCCATTCATGCACCTATGTGTCTGCTTTCCCACCCCTTCCATGAAAATCCTTTCACACACTTCTTTGAAATGGTTGAATAAACTGTAAAATGTGCAGAGCAAAAAAAAATTATCTTTGCACAGCACCAAGCACAATGAACTCATGAACCATCACTACAAAATAATCAGTAATACAAAAGCCCACCCTTTCCTAGTCTATAGTATTCCACAGACTAAAAATAAAATCCTCAAAGCTTTCTTAGGAAGACTTGAACGTTCATGAACATACAGAGAGCGTTGCTGTCACTAAAAGGTGGGGCTCCATATCTCAGGAATAACATAGGAAAAGTGAAACACCAATCACTACTTATACTAAAATTTCCCAGATGCTATCAAATTTTGGCCTTAATGAGCTTGCTATTGTATTACTTATTTCAAGGAGAGAAGAATGAAATCGGCTTTTCAAGATCAGCCTAGGCTCAGCTTGATCAGACTAAACTGGTTTAGTTTAACAAGGATTCATCTTTGGCTTTTCTCTTTTTCAGTTCAGCAAACCTTCACACTTAGTAAGTACCCCCATTCCCTCAAGTTGAATGTAACCAGAAGTTTTTTCTGGTAATATGTTTATGGTGCCACCTGTTGCATTCCTACTAATGCTGGATGCTTCTATAGGTAACCCCTTTGCTTCAAGTCTCTACATCAGATAGCTTTTAATACTGAAATGATATCTTTGGCAACAAAAAAAAAATCTCCTAAATAAATATTATGTACTTGGACAAGAGTCCTTAGTACAGAAAAGTTATACACAGCATTTTTGAAGGGCTGAAACCTCAACACTCAGATCCAAGAACTGAAGTCTTCATAAGAATGCTCAATTCCAGAGATAATTTTTTTAGTATGCTTTTATCTACATGCAATAGATTATACTGTGAATGTGTACAGAACAACAACATTGCTAGGACAGATCTCAACTCTCAGCATAATTTCTTCTTCCATCTCCCTTTACTTATCATGAATTCGACAGCTATCAAAAAGGTTCATGCCAAATGCTACTGTGCAACTCTCAGCATTCAAACTTTTACTTTCTTACTCAGCTGGAACTATTCTCAAATCCATCTCCAACCACTCCATGTCCCTTAGTAGCCCATCTTCTAATCCCAGCCCACTCATGTATCTTCTAACTCCTGAAAATAAAACCACAAAATATGCAAGCACTGATGAAGAGAATTCTAAACCAAAGGACTGGACTCAGCAGAGCTGGGCTGCATCCTCAGATGTCACACAGCTTCAGAGCACAGCATTTAGGCTGGACAATTCAGAACAGTCTAGGCAACTTAATTATCTTCATCACAAAGCTATTTACTCAGTAATTCATAATACTGAATATATCAGCTTTTTTCTGCATGTTAGCTGCAACGCGTAAGTGGAAACAAAGTGATGTTTTTCACATTCTCCTTTTCCACAAAACCTGCTGCCCTGTATGGAGGACATCTCACTTGGCTCCAGATAATCTGTCTATGCCTATTCCCAACATCACCTGACCCAGAGGGGAACAAATTGCAGAAAATTAGATCAAAATAGAAGAGCAGATGAAAAGTCTATTGGCTGAACTAAAATCTTCAGTAACTGAAATATAAAGAAGTCTCCAAATAAGTCAGCAAAAAATGGTCACAGGCAATATACAGAAAGCTCTTAAAAAAAATAGAAAATATAGCAGCTACATGCCTTCTGGAAAACAACAAAAATCTTGTATTCCTTTTGGAAATCATAATTATACAAATAACAATACCCACGAGCTTCACCGCTATGAATATTGTTTGGGTTCCCTGAGCCTCTGGCTGCTAATCAAAACCAAAAGAAACACCCTGTTACAGATTATAATGTTATTATTACAACATTTTTCAAATCAAATGCCACATCAATGCCTGGGAATTCTTGAAGAATCCACAAAATATTATGAGAAAGGAGATCAAGAGGTATGTTCATGTAAGTGAAAAAACTCTCACTAAAAATGCCTGAACCAAAGTAGTTTGTCAAGATATTAACTAATGTCAAAACAGACTTAAAAGGCCACTGTAAATACTTGGTAGTTTCAGTTTCAAGCATTTTTGTGCTCAAACATTCATTACCCCTTTAGTTAAACCTCCTCAATAATACTAACCATAGAGATACATTGGAGAGAAACAATTTGGCATTTACCTCCAGCTTTCTACTGATTTCCAAGATTGTATTTTTAAAGGCTGGAAGTAGAGGGGCTTGAATCAAACCTTTACCAAACCCTTCCTTCTTTCATCCCCTACTCCTCCCTCTCCAGTTTCAATCATTCTTAGAGTTGCATCAATGGTGATACAAGTAATATTTAAGGACTCCAAGAAGAAAAATGAAACGTTAAAAACCCAAGGTTTTCTAAACGTGTTTCAAAGACATTTCAAGCACTACGAGAATGAATCTGCAGCATGGAAAGTACCAGCACAAACAATTTTGAAAGATTTCTGTGATTTCACAGGTGATAATACCAGCAGTGAATCTTTCCTCTTCTACAACCATGGATAGGGTCAATAAATTGGCAAGAACTAAGAAATCTTCCAGCACTGTCACTCCTCAAAACAGAACTGGAACTAGAAGATGCAGAACAGATCTGTCTAGTTTTCTATTTTAAATGAAGTCACAAAGACTTTATTATTAGTATTCCAGTTGATAATATTATTTTTTAGAAATTACCCACCTAAACAGATGAATGAAAGCATTACAGTCTATGGATATTAATCTGAAATATCTTTTACAGAATTTAGATAACATTTAAGACTAAAAAATGTGATTAGAAAACACAATTGTGTGCATATACTCAGGACACATACTGGCTTTTAATTAGGCATCCATGAAACTTTCCTCAGTGTTGTGCCTACTCTCTCCTCTTAAATTAGCTCAAATGATTGGGCACATCTGACATGCAGCTCATAAAGAGTGATCAGAAGGAGAATGAACAAGTACTTTTGAAATATTCACTTCACGTGATTAACCTTTTTTCATTGTGATTTACAGGTCTCAACCACAACATACAAAGCTGAGTTGTATCAGAATATAACTGTGTTCTGCCAAAATACTCAGTTCATCTACATTCAACAATACACAATTGTAAAGCATCACTTCCTGTGACAAAAAATCTGCAGTAATTCCTACATGTAAGATAAACACTGTAGTGGAGTATGGACACAAAAGTATTTCCCAGTGTTGAATGAAGCTCCTGTTGATACATTTGCTCATGGTCTTCACAGTTTCAAATGCCAGTTCAAGAACAGTTTGGATCCTGACTAATTTTCTTTCAGAAAACATTATCCTACTGATTGAAAACACATTGAAAATTTGCAGAATCATGTAAAGATCCACCCACCCCTGCCCCCAACAACCAAAGCAGGTTATCTGTGCTGCCCCAAACTCTCTCCCAGAAGGGAATTGTGACTGTGCCCACCCAGAGCTCTCAGAATCATCTGGTTTCCTTTTAGCTGGGTCTGGCTTTCACACAGGTCTGCTTGTCCTCAGACAGAGTAGGAAATGCCATTGCATCACTCAACCTACTGAGAATCACCAATTCATGCTGATCTATCCAGTACCCTGCAGATTATTTAATCAGCCCATCTATATTGGCTCTAATTGATATCTATTATTGTATCTGAAGTTTCCATAACCCTATCAGAGAAAGAACACATCCAAGGCCATTTCTTTTCTCCCTCCTGTTCTCAGTGGCAGAACTGTCAAAGGAGCACACAGCAGAGCATCTTAACTGACCCTAACCTCTGTTCCAAGAGCATAATGTTTGTAGGAACTAGAATCTGACCAGAACACAGAGTGTGACTGGGGGGTGGATTACATCACCCAAAGTGAGTTGGAGTTGCATCTCCTTCAAAAGGTCAGACATGGAAGCAGCAGAGAAGTGAATCAGGGAGTTGGTCTGCATCCACTGTATCAAATAACAAGAGCCAGAGTAGCTTTAAATCACTGATTTCCTGTTTTCTGAGCAGACCATGAACATCAGTACAGTATTTCATTCCATTTCACTCTGATCCTGACTGACAGAGACATTTGCCCATGGTTTAAAATACTCCAAATGTAGGGTTTTTCTTCAAGAGGCTCAAATACATAGGTAAAATTCATCTTTATTTTGTCTGGCCTTTAAAATACAAACCCAGAAGCATTGAAAAGGGTGCAACTGACCCCCAGTATTAGATTTGTTTCTCTTATGCATATCTAGTTTCCCTATGTAAGGGATCCCTACAAGCTATAACAGAGTTCTAAGCTTTCACATATTTTCTTTAGCTTTACAGCAATGGATTTTTCAAGTAGGGAGTTAGGGCTGGATCACCCAGTCCACCCCTCCACCACCAGAATGAGGTAAAATACTTCAGAGCACTGTCCTGAGCAACAGGAATTTGTAACTGAAACCAGTTATGACAAATATCTTTGGCATTTCTTTGCATTTATTTCAAGCACCCCGTTTTAGTTCTCAAAATTCTGTCCGAAAAACAACTTCTATCTTCTATTCTCCATTAAAATTACCCAAGGCCTATTTTAGCAATCCACTCAAAGTGGGAAAATTAGGCCTTAGCAATCCACT